AGGTGACCTAAAAGGCGTCTCTGGCACCACAACGAACTGGGCTATTTCCACTGCACCCAGCTGTGTGGAAGCACAAGTGTGTAATTCTGGGAAACACAACTAGGTGTGAGAGCACCACAATCAAGTATGTGTGACCGCTATCATTCCAGCAACAAGAACAAAAGGAAAGGGTTAAAAATGGTATTAATGAGAAATATAAGCTAAACAAATAATTGAGGGAGGTCTCTTTAGAAACAAAAACAAGTACAATTGGGGAGAGCGCTTGTCTTGCACATGGCCAACCCAGGTTCAATCCATGGCACCCTGTATGGTGCCCTAAGTCCTGCTAGACGTGATCCCTGAGGACAGAGGACTAAACTTTGAGCACTGCCAGGAGTGGCCCAAAAACAAAACAAAACAAGAGCCAGAGACACCTTACAATGGGTTGGAGCACATGTTTTGCATACAGGAGTCCTGGGTTGTATCTATCCCCACACGAGATGGTTCCCCCTACCTGACCCAGCTCTACCAACCAGGAACAATCCACTAATGCTGAGCCAGGAATAGACCCTCATCAACAATGAGGTATGCAGCTGTCGTAACCCCAACCCCACACCCGTGACATACACACAAAAGGGGGGAAAAAGCCAGACCAGGGGCCAGAGTGGGAGTGCAGCAGGTAGGACACTTGCCTTATATGTGGCTGACCCAGGTACAATTCAGACATTCCATATGGTGCCCAAGCACTGCCAGAAGTAATTCCAGAATTCAGAGCCAGGAGCAGCCCCTGAATATCATAGGGCATGCCCCTCAAATAAACCAAAAAGCAAAACAAAAAACATCAGGGCCAGAGTGATAGTACAGAGAGTAGGGTTTTGTCTTGCATGCGGCCAACCTGGGTTTGATCCCCAGCATTCCATGAGACATTACTGAGTGCAGAGCCAGGAGTAAGAGCTGAGCATCACCAGGGTTGGTCCCAAAATTTAAAAAAAAAAACAAGAAAGAAAAACTTATTAAAGAGAAAAATACAGGTAAAATCTCAAATAATAATGGTGGGTCTGGTGTCAAAGTATTGAATGTGATCTAAGTAGAGAGAGAGTAATGTGGAAATCATCTACCCCACAGGTAGGGGGAGGGTGTGGGATGGGGGTACACTGGGGTTGTTGGGGGTGGAGAATGGGCACTGGTGAAGGTACGGGTGTTTTATTGTATGACCGAGACTTAGACCTGAACGCTTTGTAACTGCTCTCACGGCGATTCAATAAATAAAATTATAAAAAAATTTTTAAAAAAGTAAGGTGGAGTTCATGCCCAATTCAATCAGCTAATAAGTGGCTGAGAAAAACAGATTATTCAGAATATCAAAATAATTCCTTAGAGATACTTAAGAACAGAAGCCAAGTACCAGAGCAATAGTACATAGTACAGTGGGCAGAGAACTTGCCTTGAATGTGGCCGACAGAGATTAATATATCACAGCATCCTACATGGTCCCCAGAGCACCACCAGGAGTGATCCCTGAATACAGAGCCAGGAGTAAGGCCTGAACACCACTGGGTATGGCAAAAAAATAACAATAATTTCAGGATCCAGGAATGTGGCTCAGCAGTTGAGGACTTGCACTATATGTGTGAGTCCCTGGGTCAACATCTCAAAAAATATATATAGTTCACCAAGGGCATGAGAGAGTTTAAAAGGGCTAAGGTGGTTGCCTTATATGGAAATAACCCCTGGTCAGTCTCTGGCACAGGGTCCCCAGGCACCACTGCAAGCCAGCCCTGACTGGGGCTGACGGAGCCACCAAGCAGTACCAGGTGTGGCCTAACTCCCCTCTCCCTCATAGAACAGAGTGCTATAAATAACAAACACATGAAAAAAATCCTTGAAACTTATGTCTCATCCTTAGAACCAACTCTTACTTGTGTCTATTCTGGTTCGGAGGACACAGTCCACAAAATACAGGAGCTACTCCTGACTTCTTGCTCTGAAGACCACACTATGCTGGGAACTGCACCCAGGCCTGCCACATGCAAAACATTCACCCCACTCCTGTGTGTTTATCTGTCCAGGACCCAGAACCAATTTTGGAGCCACACTTTCCAGCATGCATTTCCTTACCTGCTCCTCTCCAGAATCAAACTAGGCTGACCCTATGACTCACTTTCATCAATAAATCTGGTTTTTTAAAAAAAAAAAAACCTTCCACTTTGTGCTCTGAGAAGGAAAATGTATGTGTTCTTTTTCTGTTGGGAGCACCATTACATATTTTTCTTATCACTGTGTATTTATTCTTTACAATCATTCTACTAAGAGAGGAGTTGGGATAAATACTGAAAGTCTGTATCAGTGATTTCACCTTTTCTATCCACGGACCAGCTAGGGTGAAACCACCACTTGCTTCAAGTTTCCTACTGACCACTCTCCTGAAGAGTCACACAAAGACGTCCTCCTTCAAACAAAGAAGGAGATGAGGCCATAGAGGGGCCAGACTCTGTAAGTGGCAAAATCATTCTGCAGTGAACATGCGATGCAGTCAGTGACCAGGTCCCAGCAATTACTTGTTCACTCGCAAAGACCAGCAGAAATTTGTTTAGCAAAACCAATCAACCCTCACCATCATGAGACAGCCTGAACAAAACTTAAATTCCACTGTCCAAATTTCAAAAAGTCACAAGAAAAACCTTCCTGAATTAGAAATTAAAAGACAAAAATTAGAGGAGTTGAAGAGATGGAGTACATGGCCAACCCAGTTTTAGAAAGCACCTTCACCAGCCCTACAAGTGATCCTTAAGCATGGAGTCAGGAGTAAGTTCCTGAGATTGCTGGGTGTGCCCTCCCTCCCCCCAAAAAAAAGATAAAACTCAGAATAAAGAGACTAGAGAAGTAAAGTAAGTGACACAAAGATTCAGACAAAAAAGGACTAACACCCTACTAGAAACCATTTCAGGCCCCAGTTCCCAAGCCAGGAAGAAAAACAGCCTCTCTCAAGTCCCCTTGCCACCCTCTACAAGCCGTTTCCACCAAGGAAAAGGAATAATATCGGAAAACAAAATGAAAACAATAGTGCAGTGCTATCCAGAACCTGCACTCTTTCAACCCCTTTCCTGATGCAATAAGGGTGATGATTTGCTTCCTGCTGGCACTGAGGATTATATCTACATAAGAAAATTCAATCGAAAAATGGCAGGAAGACCTCTTACCACAGCCAAGGGATCACTGATGATTATGATAAAAAGAAGCCAGTGAAGGCACTCAAAAAGAAATCTGCCTGCGATGGTACTATGACTAAGCATTCAGAATCTGGAGAAGAAATTCAACTACAGGGCAATCAGCACATGAACATATGCCAGTTCTGGGTGTTGAGTGAACAGGCTAAGGATGACCAGCTGAAAAGTCACAAGATCAAAGTGCTTTTGGCTCTCTGAAAGTTAAGTGTGGATTTCCTTGCAATGAGTAGAATTTCCCCTCTGTCCCTTGTCACAAAGTTCAAAAACCTCACAGTGTGCATAATGTAACCAGTTGGGGTCTGCTTTTAACTAGGACTAAAATAACTCTTCATGCAATAAACTGAAAAGAGTTTCCCCTCACCCACTCCCCCAAGTCATTCCAAAATGAATCAAGAAATGAAAAAGTTATCATAGGAAAAAAAAAAGGAAGATAGGGGGATAAAGACTAAAGTTTGAAATGGCCCATCCATGGTGAACTCCAGCAATAATTAAGGAGAGGGAAAAAAAGAAAACTAAGTACCCTATTGTGACATTTCAAAACACCAAGGAAGGAGATGGAGAGCTAGTAAAGGGGTTACTTCCATCCCATCAATCCCAGTTTCCAATCTTCAGTACCACATATGGTCCCTAGAGCCCACCACAGGTCACTCCTGAGCACAGCCAAGAATAGCACTGTAGCACTGTCCTGTTCATCGATTTGCTTGAGCGGGCACCAGTAACGTCTCCATTGTGAGACTTACTGTTACTGTTTTTGGCATATCCAATACGTCATGGGTAGCTTGACAGGCTTTGCCATGCAGGTGGGATACTCTTGGTAACTTGCTGGGCTCTCCTTAAGAATGAAACAAAAACCCAGAACCACTCAAGGGACTGGAGTGATAGCACAGTGGGTAGGGTGTTTGCCTTGCAAGCAGCCGACCCGGGTTCGATTTCCAGCATCCCATATGGTCCTCTGAGCACTGCCAGGGATAATTCCTGAGTGCAGAGCCAGGAGTAAACCCTGAGCATCTGTGGGTGTGACCCCCCCAAAAAAATTTTAAAAAAAAAGAGATCCATTCAAGAGCATCCTACAAGTCACCACAACTGCTAAATCCTATTAAAATACAAGTCAGTAAGTTTGCATCAAAAGAGAAATCCAGAAGAGAGATGGTGTGAGCCAGTGAGTATCTCTACTACTCACAGGAGATTAACATTTGGTTAGGTCTTTATAACCAGATGCGCTAAAGAAAATGAGATTCTAGGTGAATGTAAAGGAGTAAAAGCAAACAGAAGACACAAGGAACTGAGACCAGAGACCTCTGAGCCCTGCCAGGAGCAGTTCCCAAGGGTAGAGTCAGGAATAACCCCTGAACACTGCCAGGTGTGGCACAAAAAAGGAACTGGAATGGAAGTACAGTAGAGCAGGTAGATCAATCAAACCTTGAGTTTGATCCCCAGCATCCCATATGGTTTCCCAAGCACTGCCAGGAGTAATTCCCGAGTGCAGGGCCAGAAGTAACCCCAGAGCATTGCCAGGTGTGGACCAAAAACAAACAAAATGATGGCAAGGAACAGTGAAAGAAACCAGGAAATTTAACAGTGACAAAAACGTGGTGCTGGAGGGACAGGGATTTGCCTGCTAATCAAGGAATGACAAGGTTATTTTTAGTACCGAAAACAAAATGAAGCAATTCACAAAAAAAAAAAAACAACTAATTTCTAAATAAGCTGTATAAGGAGGAAAATCTATCCAGTTTAAATTTTGCTTGAGACCATTCATTATAGCTCTTGAACACTAGAGAATTTTTACTTTACCTGACCCGCGGGCAGTGGTTGATCTAGCATCTCAACATCCAGGTGCTTAGGAAGATTATATAATCTGCAGAGTTCACTTATCAACCACTTCAATTGCTGACGAAGCTACAAAACACATTTCAGTAAATAAGCATTGTTATAGAGCCCTTAGAAGACATGAATAATGGTACAACTACTATAAACCAATCAGTAGGAAATGAGACCATTAATGCTCAATTACAGCCTACAGGTAAAATATTTGACTTCAAAAAAGTTACTTTTAGGAAATGCTAGTTTAATAGTTACTATGGCTTGAGAACAAACTCTACAACCAATGCCTACCACAACAACAAAAAGGAAGAGGAGGGGAGCTCAGACACTGTCCAATTCTGTCACTAAGTTCTTTTCATAGTAACTTACAACTTCAAAGTGCATTAATGAGGTTATCAAAAAAAAGTAGTGTTATTACATGGATTATAAAATTATTTATTTCTGTCATTCTCATCTGAAAGACAGAGACAAACTTGTCTTGCAAACAAAGTCTTGGAATCTAGATGAGCTTGGATACAGCACCTCATTCCCTGAATTTCAGTCTCCCCATCTGTACAATGAGGAAGTTTAAAAACATTAAAATGGTAACTATTAAATAAAATTTTCTGCGCAAACACTCAGCAAAAAGGAAGCTCTTAAATTTGTTTGTCTATGAAAAAATACACTAGGAAAACTATAAATAGAACTTTAAGTTTCCATTTTTAAATGCAGATTATATTTATTGCAAGTATAAAAAGTATAAAAATATACCTTTTATATATAAAAATAAAAGTATAAAAATATGCAAGTATATTTACTAAAACAAGTAACATACATTGGGTGCACAAACATGTTATGAAAACTCATGAAAAGGTAAGTTAAGCCATTATGCCTGAAGAAGAATGGTCAACATTCAGCAAACATGTTTGAAACTAGTAAGGCAACTTCTCTCGGTCAAGAACAATTTCCCAGGTCTCAGTAAAAACAGGGAAAAAAAAAGTTTATCAAGGAACAAGAAAACAGACACAAAAGCAAAGCAAAGCAAGCAAAAAAAAAAAAAAAATAGAATCCCCAAACTAGACAAAGAAGCAAGTAGAAATGAGGAAAACTGAACAGTAAATTAGAATTTGAAAGATCCTTAAGCTGAAAAGAAGCAAGTCCCCACCATTGTTTGTTACCTATCCTGTATCCAGTATGATCTGTTTGTACTCTATGCATGATAATTTAATGTTGGGCAGGACATGCTAGACAGACCCAGAATCTCCAAGCCTGCCAAGGAAGAGCAGCAGAAATGCTACAGGAAAGGCAGGAATGTGATGAGTGGTACAAAACAAGAAAAACAAGGTGGCACATCTTTCAAATATTTATATTTTACCCTCCAAAGCCCCCCCCCAAAAAAAGTATTTGAGGTATGAGAGGAAGAAAGTGTACTCAAAGAGGAAGATGTAAAAAAATAACTAAAAGGTAGTGCAAAGTCTCAGAAATTAAGTTAGCTTGGGGTGGGGAGGTGTCAGAAAATACATATATATATGTATATGAGATCACAGGTTAGCCTGGGTGATAGACTGCATTATTTTACTTTGTCCCATTCACAATCACAAATAGAATTATTGAGGAAAAATATGAGTGTGGGTAGAAGACTGAGTGGAGGGCTGGGAGGCAGAGGAGTTTAAATTCAGATAAAATCATTTTGAACACTGATGACACATCCAAGTAAAATTCCCTAACCGATAGAATATAAAAATCAAATATAGCACTGCACTGTAGCACTGCCCTCCTGTTGTTCATCAATTTGCTCGAATGGGCACCAGTAGCATCTCCATTGTGAGACTTGTTACTGTTTTTGGCATATCCAATATGACACAGGGAGCTTGCTAGGCACTGCTGTGCGGTTGGGATACTCTTGGTAGCTTGCTGGGCTCTCCAAGAGGAACAGAGGAACCAAACCTGGGTTGGCTGCGTGCTAGGCAAATGCCCTACCCGATGTGCTATCGCTTCAGCCCTCCCCCCCCCAAAATCAAATACATAGGTTTAAATATATATAGGTTAAAAAGCTTAAAATAGGGGCTGGACAATAGCACAGCGGCTAGGGCGTTTGTCTTGCACGTGGCTGCCCCAGGTTAAATTCCCAGCATCCCATATGGTCCCCTGAGCACCGCCAGGAGAGATTCCTGAGGGCATGAACCAGGAGTAACTCCTGTGCATCGCTGGGTATGACCCCCCTCCCCAAAAAAGCTTAAAATATATAGGTTTAAAATATATAGGTTTTTAAACATAATCTTAATTAGAAAGCCCTAGATTATAGCCAGTAATAAGCAGAAGGAGCCTACCCAAAGAAAGCAGAGGAGATAAAAAGAAGCAAACCAATGAAAGCTCAGAAGACTAGGGATAGGGTAATAAGAATAAGGAGGTTTTGGTCACTTTGGTGATGGTGACCACAAGTGTCGATCAACACCATTATAAGCCAATTGATTTAAATATAATAATTTTTTTAAAATAATAGGAGAGAGCCAGAGAGAGAGTACAGAGGTTAAGGTGCTTGTCTTACACATGACCAGCCCTAGCCCTGGTTTGATTCCCAGCACCAACAGGAGTTGGTGAGGAGCTCCTGAGCACAGAGCCAGGAGTACGCCCCGAACACTGCCAGGTGTGACCAAAAGAACAGAAAACAATACACACACACACAAAAATTGGAAACAGCATGCTGATGAAAGTCCTCACATTATTCATTCCCAGAGGAAAGGAACATGCATGGATGTCAATTAAAAAATAATTCTGGGGCCAGAGATAGATAGTACGGGAATTAAGGGAGATGCCTTGCATGCAGCTGACCTTGGTTCAATCCCTGGTACTGTGTTTCCCTCAGCACCGCCGGATACAGTACTGGAGGCCCCAGAAAAAACAGTGGGATGATGTGGGTTTCTCAGGCAGCGTCACATCCTTTATTCTTCCCACTGAACCCCCAGTCTACTTCATTGGGCAGTGCCCCTGGATCACTAGGCACTGCTGGAGAGTCACCTGTTCTCTGTATCCCCAAAACACTCCTCTGTGTCAACAGTTTCCTGTACCATGGAAGACTGGCTACATTCTGTTTAGCTCCAACATTAAATTCCAACATTAATAGGCAGGAAGGTGGTGAGGGTGATAGGAGGGAACTTGGGGACACTGGGGGAAAAAAAATAAATTCTACTATAAAACTATACATAGTATGAGACCAGAGAGATAGTAGAGCAGGTAGGGTTGCATGCAGCGAATCAGGGTTCAATCCTTGGTATCCCAAATGGTCCCCTGAGCACTACCAGGAATAATTCCTGAGTGCAGAGCCAAGAGTAACCCCTGAGCATCGCCAGTTGTCGCCCCAAAACAAAAACCATAAAAAAAACCTATACTAGTAGTTTTTAAAAACCTATACTAGTAGTTTTTAGTCAGTTCTTTATTGGCAATAAAAAATTGAGTGCAAGAACATTTCAACAAGATAATAGTCAATAACAATGTTTACAAAGGGGTCAAATTTAGGACTCAAAATGGAATCACTGAATTTAACTGAAGATAAAAAACTTTAGTGTATGTGCCAGAGGCTGGTCCTAGTTCAAATCCCACAAAGGGTACCCTGAGCACAATGCAGGAGTAAGCCCCGAGCACTGCCAGGACTGGCCTAAAAAGCAAAAGACTTTTGTGCAACAATGAAGGCATTCTAGTCATAAAATGGATTCAAGATGAAGGAATTTAATTAAAATTGTAAGAAACTAGACCGCAAATTATAAGAATGGAAGGTCCACATGGAGGTAGTTTGTAGCAGCATACATACTTCCCATTAGGCCCAGGTTTCCATCCCCAGCACCAAAGGAGAAAATAATATATATAATGAGTTTTCTGTGTCTTATGTATACATACCTACTTTTCAAAACCCCTTTCTGGGCTGTAGCGACAGTACAATGAGTGGGGCACAATACAGAGTGCCTTGCAGGAAGTCAACCCAGGTTCAATCCCCAACACTATGGTCTCCCAAGCCTACCAAGAGTAAACCCTTGAGCATAGCCAAGTGTGTCCCAAAAATAACAACAAAAAATTAGACCCACTTTTATATAAATATCCTATTGTCATTTTACTTTGAGTGTTTTACATGTGAATACAGCCACACTCGTTTCTACTATTATAAAATTTTTATCTTTAGGGAGTCGTGGGGAAGGGGGGCTGTCTATACTAAGAGCTCACAGTACTCTCATCCCCTATTAAAGATGCAAACATGAATCCAGCTTTTAACTTTTACAGCTTTTCACACTAGCCTTTACTCTTAGAATACCCTCCAAACTGTTGTTCTACTATTTCTAAACCACCTACAACTTATTTTGACAAAAACAAGATATAAAACTCTAACATCCACCATATGTACAGTTTACCCAAACAATTTCTAGTATGACCTATCCTTTCCTTGTTACGTTAATACATCACTATCATTCCGACCTGGGCCAGCCTAATAATTCAACAGGGTGGAACGCATGCTTTGATTACAGCAGACCCAAGTTGGTCACATGGTCCCTGAGCATTGCCAAATGTGACAAAAAAACTAAATAAAATATCATCCCCCAATTCTAATTCTCAATTACATAACTCTGCACCTAAACTTTGTTTTTCTTTTGGTTGGGGAACCATGCCTGGCTGTGCTCAGGGCTAACTTCTGGTGGCGCTCAGGAGAACAAACACAGTATCAGGGATAGTACCTGGTCTGCTGCATGCAAGCTAAGTACCAGCTCTCTAGCCTTTTATTTAGATTTTTGGTTGCACTGGGAAGGCCCACTGAGATCTCTCTCCAACTCTGTATCAAAACTTTTATTGCTTTTATCCTTTTAGTCCATGCCCGTATATAATATAAATATCATGGACTGGGCAAGTTTCTTCTCATTACCTTTTTTCAGCTTCATTGTTTTCACATTAATTACTCTTCTAAACACACTGAAAGACAATTTGTCAAATTGTAAACCAAATCTGGAAACCAGAAACATGGATTAATGGCAAAATTCCCCACATATATGAGACCTGGGTTTGAGTGCCAAGCGCCAAAACATAGTCTACTGAGATTTCACTGGAATTACATTCCACTTACAGATTAACATAAAACTAAGGTCAGAGCTGACTTATTTACACTGAAAAGTCTTCATTCCTAGATCTTAATATAAGTCCTATACATCTAAGTTTGTCTCCAAGTATTGAAATTTTGTCACTACTACAAATTATACTTCCCCACTATAAATTATAATCAATATAGCTACTTGGGAATACTGATTTTTACAATAGAGCTTTAAAATAGTCATCTAAAAAAATTGTTCTTTTCTGGGCTAGAGAGAGAGTACAGGATGGCAAACTTGCCTTGATGCAGACTCCTTGGCTTCGTTTAATACCCAGCACCACAAGAAAGTCTCATGCACCAGGAGGTATAGTTCAAAATACAATTTTTTTAATGTTTTCCAGTTGATGGCTTTGGATTATTTTGGTAAATATTGTCAATTACAAATAATTATTAATATTTTCTGCAAGGGCTTTATGACATCATGGAAAAATACAATGACAAAGCTAATCCTTAAAAAAGATATAGGTTGTAAGATATAAGAAGCTATCACAAATTGACTTTTATTGACCTAAATTTTGGTAATTCACTTTGCTAACAATATGAAGTAAATCTGTTTGTGCCTACAAGGGGGGAGGACAGGGTGGTGGGTGGGAAACTGGGCACATCAGTGGAGAGAACAGCACACTGGTGGTGGGATTGGTGTTGGAACATTGACTGCCTGAAACACCTGTATTAAGAACAACTTGGTAAATCACAGTGCTATAATTAAAAATTTAAAAGGATGTAGGATCAGAGAAACAATACAGGATTAAGATGCATGCCTTGCATGTGGCTAAACCATTTCAATCCCTGGCACCTCATGGTTTCCTAAACACTGCTGAGTGCCACACTAGAGGACGCCAAGAACTTCCACAGTAATCCAGGTAATCCCCAAACCACAAGGCCTGAGAAACATCACGTCCCTCAATTCTTGCACTGAACCACCTGCCCAGTGAACCAAGAATAACCAAGAGGGAATCTCAGGTCCCCGAGTATCCTTGATGAAGCATAAAATTCCTAATAATAAAAAAAATTTTTTTGGCTTTTTGGGTCACACCCAGCAATGCTCAGGGGCTACTCCAGTTCTGCACTCAGAATTACTCCTGGTGGTGCTCGGGAGACTATATGGGATGCCAGGGATCAAATTCGGGTCAACCACGTGTAAGGCAAACACCCTACCTGCTGTACTATTGCTCCGGCCCTAAAAATAAAAAGGGTATCAAACTACACAGGATATGGTCTCAAACTATTTTTTTTCTTTTAAGATTTTTTTTATTGAATCACTGTGAAACAGACTTTCACAAAGCTATTCATGATTAGGGTTCAGTCATACAATATTCCAATACCCATCTCTACATCAGTGTACATTTCCCAGCACCAGTGTCCCTAGTTTCCCTCCCATTATCACCACCCCCAACCTCCTCCTATGACAGACACTTTTCTTCTCTCTCCTCTCCCCCTTCCTTTTTTGGGCATTGTGGTTTGCCATACAGATACTAAAAGGTTATCGTGTATATCCCTCTTAACACTCAGTTCTTGTCCAGCATGATCATTTCCAACTATTACTGTCATAACGCTCCCTTCTCCATTTAACTTACCCTCAGCCCCACACACACTTTGTTAAGATTCCAACCAATGACCAGTCCTCCTAGCCCCTGTTTTCCCTGACTCTGGATATCAGTCTTCTACTATATATATATTTTTATATACCACAAATGAATGCAGTCATTCTATATCTGTCCCTCTCCTGAGTCATTTCACTCAGCACTGATACTCTCCATGTCTATCCATTTACAGGCAAATTTCACAACTTAATTTTTCCTAACAGCTGCATAGTATTCCATGTGTAGATGTGCCACAGTTTCTTTATTCATTCGTCTGTTCAAGGGCACTGGTCTCAACTACTTAAACAAGTGAACATGGGAGGCCTGGGGGTTCAATGCTAAGAAGTTAAATGAATTATAGGAGTACGTGTATTTTATTAGCAAGAGAAAAAAATACAAAATAATCATCATGGCCACAGAGATAAGGTAATACAAAGGTTATGGCACCTGCCTTGCATATGTTCAACCTGGGTCCAAACCCCAGCACCACACAGGATCCCAAAAAAAGTGCTAGGAGTGATCCCTGAGCACAGAGTCACATGCAAGGCAAGTATTCTACCCAAGTACTATCACTCTAGCCTTCCTTTTTTGATATTCCACTATGCTAGTGACTCCTACCAAAAAGAACTGGTTTAACAAAATTTATGAGAAAGAGACCATCAAATTCCTGACTAAATTAAGACAATACCTATGATGAAAAGGAATCTAAAGAACTTAATCAAGCTTTTATATTTTACTGACCCTTAATACGTAAGTTCTACAGACAATGTTCACGAGAAAGAAAAAAATAGCTTGGCTTATTTTCTTACCGAATTATTGTTCTTAGTATCTTCTAGTCGCTCCAGAACTGTTGCCAGATTTGGGTCATCACAATCCACAAACCATATTGGTGAAGAAGATGGGTAAGATTCCTGTTAAAAAAGAACCCATGAACATTTACATATGGGCCAATCCAGATATGTAATTAATCCATACCACTCACTGATGTGGTTATTTTATCAAAAATAACCACAAGCTCAAGTAAAATGCATTGTAGGGGGGGGGAAATTAATATAACTGTGTATTCATTTTCGGGAGCAGAACTACTCTAAACAGCGATACCTTGGCCTTCAGAATATAAGGCAAGTCCTCTATCACTTGAACCAAGTCCCCTGAGCCAGGCCAGGAGTGATCCCTGAGTGTAGAGTCACGAGTAAGCCCTGAACACCACCACCAGTTGTGGCCCCAAAACCAAAGGAATAAAAATTTTAAAACATAATCAAGGGCAGGTTTAATTTTTACTGTTTCATCTTTTAATAGAGCTACATTTCTACTCTTTATTGAAATGCCAAACAGATAGCACCATGGGCTGAGTGCATGCTTTGCAAGCTGAGACCCAAATTCAATCCCCAGCACCACAGGAACCAAAGCACAGAGCACTGCTTAGTGTAGCCCCAAAACAAAGACAACAAAAATGTTATAGGATGAAAAGGAATACATATCTAAGCACATGCTTTAAATCCTTAAATATTTTAGAGACGGGGAGCTGGAGCATTGGTATAGCGAGGAGGGCACTTGACTTGCATGGGAACAGCCTGGGTTCAATCCTTGGCATCCCATAAGGTTCCTTGAGCACTGCCAGAAGAGAGCAGAGCCAGGAATAACCCCTGAGCATTACTGGGTGTGGCCCCAAAACAAAGAACAAAACAAAACCACAATGCTACAGATGATTCTTAAAAACTTACTCACTGCACTCATTTGCTTTCTGAGTGGTGCAAATCTAGAAATTAAGAGATTTTTCTCCACTACAAAATCTGTCCTAAAAATCAATTCCTTTTAATTATGCCTTTGTCCTAGTAATTTTCTTTTCCTTCTCAGGCTGTTGAGAGGAAAATATATCTTAAATGAGCTTCAGATTGCTTCTAAAAGATAGCAAATGTCAGGTCAACAAACAGCACCATAGCTGCTGTGGGTGACACTCTGCTCTCCCTGGCAAGGAGCTGGGCTCCGAGGCAGGCAATCTCACACCACCACCACCAATGTGCTACAGTTCATAAGGGTCAGTGACGTTCTTGAGTAATGTGGAAGAAGCCCAAGAATCACAACCTCCTGGGAGTCACAACTGGTTATGATTCCCTTCCCTGGACCGACTGACTCACTTCTAACAGGGTATCACCAAAGAAATGAGTTATTACCTCTCAGATTAGGTTACAAAAAGATGAGAATTTCTGTTCTGCCACCCTGTCCTCTGATTTTTGCTCCCTCGAATGAATGACAGTCCCTTACTGAGATCACACTGCAGGAGATGAAGAAAAGTCCTTGAGAAAGACCTCTGACCAATTAACTGCTAGCTAGAAACTAAGGCCCCCAGATGAGTACCCTGTAGAGCAATGAATCCCATCGACTGCCTGGAGACACAGTCCAGCATGAGAAGGCCAAGCAGTTAGCCCAAAGGGATGGAAACCTGGAGGTGTGGGTGTGATTTCGAGCACTGCATGGCCCCACGAGCACTGAGTCAGGAGTAATCCTTCAGCAATGCCTGGTGTGCCTTCCCCAATAGAAGAAAGTGAAGGGTGGGAGAGAAAAAGAGGAAGGGCGAAAGGAGAAGGGAAAAAGAGAGTAGCCACGCCAGCATGAGGGTAATGATGCATGGCTGCACTTTCACTGCTCTAGGGGCACCAGAGGTGAGACCCCAGGAAAGCAGTGCATATACTCCCACCCAACAGAAACTACGGGATAATGTTTGTTGTTTTCTGTTGCTGAGTCCGTAACAATAAATGGTAGCTAATTCAGGCTTTTCTCACAGGGGATAAGCCCATGTTCTGACTTGAACATGCATCTCCCTATCCTCACATTTCTGTAAGCCAGTGTCTTTAAATAAAACTTCTGCTTCATTAAAGAAAAAAAAGACAGTTAATTCAAGTACCGTGAGCATCCAACATTTTGTTCCATCATACAAACTGAGCACTACCCAAAATAGATTACTACATACATTACTGCTCAGGTTCCCTGCCCCGAAGAGGCCACACTCAGGGGAGGAGGGAAAGAGTGTATGCATGTGTGCATGCCTTGTATATGCCCAAACACTTGTATTACCTCCCCAATCCTACATACAAATTTTTAAGTTAGCAACTAGTATTTTAATGCTTTTCCCTCCTGACATGCTCTCTAGTCCCATACACTATTTTCTGTTATAAATGAGAGAGGAAAAAATAGACTATTAGTTGGCTCCCATTATTAGTTAGAAAATAATTAGATTCTAGCCATGAAAAAGCAGTAATTTTGTAGAAATGATTTTTAAGGAAGCTTTTGGGGGGGGGACTGCAATCTCAATTATAACATGGCTGATGCCAAAGAAACCCCTAGCATTATACACCCAATGTTATTTAAAGAAAACATTTAATATCAAGTAGGACACTGCTGCATCTATTCAGTAATGGTTTATTTCTGTGTCCTCATTCCTCTCTTGTTGTGTCCCAAACTCCTTTACACGCTGCCAGATGCTGAGGGTTTACTCTTGGCTTTGCCCTCAAGGATCACTCCTGGTGGGCTCGAGGGACCACATGGGATGCCAGAGAATCAAACCCAGGTCAGCAGAGTACAAAGCAAGCACCTTATCCGTCTATCTTTGTGGCTCTGGGAAATACGGTTAATTTATGAAAAAAATTATATTAATATGCTGTTATCCATTTTAATAAACATGTTAAATATTTGCTTTAATTTCTGATACTGACAACCTACTAAGCAAAGCTCTTTAGTACCTCAACACACATTTAATAGTGTGCCAAGATCTTTACAGGTCACACCCTAACACAAAGAGCAGAAATATCCACAACCCCCCCACCCACACCCCTAGACACACACAACCACCACCACCATTCTACACTAACAAATGTTACATTGGGATTGTTTTCCCCCCTTTTTATCTTGGCTTTTGGTTTTGTTTTCTGGTTACTCCCACTTCAGTGCTGGGATCACTCCTAGTGGTGGCAACCGGAACAATGCAATGCTAGAAACAGAGCCCATGTCGGTGTGTTCCAGCCATATTCTCTCTCCCTCTCTCCTTGCCATCTTTTACCCTTCTTATCCTTACCTGAAGCCTATTCACAGGGCTCCACCATCCATCTCACTTCCAGTGACTATCTCTATTGTCAAATGGACTAAGCCAGAACCAAATCTCTCTTCAGTGTGATTAGAATGCAATTTCTGGAGTCATGAGGTCAAAGTTGGATAGCCTGGGTTAGCAAACATCTATCATACCAAAACATGAGAAGTTTCCATGAACCAAACAGTTTTCCAGAGGGTCACAGATGATAACTTTTGTCACTGGTGGTGAGAATGCCCATTTCATTTAACACTTGTTAATTGAAGGAAAAGTTTCCTATATGATTTGTTACACTTCCAGAACCCATTCATAAAAAAAAATAAACTGAAATCATCACTTCTAGGAAAATTTTAGAACATTAACTACAGCATACAAATCTGGCCCTATCTGAAAGTAGACTGTGGACTGAACATGATGACCACTTAGTATCCATACTGCAAACCATAACACCCAAAAGGAGAGAGACAGTAAAAGAGAATGTGCCTGCCACAGAGGCTTCGGGGAGTGGGGGGGAATGAGGGAGGTGGCGGGAGGGAAACTGGGGACATTGGTAGTGGAGAATAGGCACTGGTGGAGGGATGGTATGCGATCATTGTATGACTGGAACATAATCATTGAAGTTTGTAAGTCTGTAACTGTACCTCATGGGGATTCATTAAAAAGAAAAAGAAAAAAAAAGAATTTAGCCTTATCAATCAACATTCAAAGAGATGCTCAAAAATAGGAAGAGAAAAAGGGAAGAAAGGCACCAATATGTCCAATACCAGAAGACATGACTGGCTGAATGCGATGTCATATAATGACCAGCCCAGGATTTTAAGACAATACTGAGGAATACTTTATGACACAGAATTACAACACAGTGAGAAACATTACAAAACAATCTGGTTGTTGTTTTACAAGAGAGAGGAAACAATATAAGCAAGAAAAACAAATGACCAGATGACAGAATGATTCATGCCAAAAATTTTTTATAGTGATTTCTTTTAAGTGGTAATATTACAGCTTTTCTCATAAAAGAAACATATACAGAAACATATGAGAAACAGCCTTGTTCCTGACGCCCCATTCGCTCTCAATGGAACGACCATCTCCGAATGCAACAGCTATGTGTACCTAGGTCGAGAGGTCAACATGACAAATGACCTGGCACCCGAGCTGCGCAGGAGGAAGAGAGCGGCTTGGAACGCCTTCAAGAACGTCGAAGAAATAGCTAAGAGGACGAAGAACCTCCGGCTCCGGGCACATCTCTTTGATTCCACTGTTCTTCCTGCATTAACATATGCTTCAGAGACCTGGGCCCTACGCAAACAAGATGAGAACGCCATTCAGGTCTCCCAAAGAAGAATAGAAAGAGCTATGCTTGGAATATCACGTTTCACTCAAATGAGAGAACGAATCCGGAGTTCTGACATCCGTCGACGATCAAGGATCAGGGACGCTGTCTCATTTGCCAAGGTGTCAAAAATCAGATGGGCTGGTCACGTAATGAGATTTAAAGACGACCGTTGGACTAGAGCTGTTACTGATTGGATTCCACGGGATGTCAAGAGACCGCGTGGCCGCCCACCTACCAGATGGTCAGACTTCTTTGTCAAGGTCATGAACGATCGGTTTGAGGCCCTCCATGTTCCCGGAGCGAAGAGATGCCATTGGGCTACACTAGCACGCGACAGGGACAAATGGAGATGTTACTGGCACCCGCTCGAGCAAATCGACGACTAACGGGAAGTTAAGTGATTAAGTGATTAAGTGATTACAGCTTTTATTTCACTAAGTTTTGCTTACCTGGTTTCTAGATTTCACACAATTAGAATATCTCACTTT